ACTCACGATATTAATAAATAGAAAGAAACTAAAATTTTGCCGGTTACATTCTCTACTACACCGTACCGTTGGCATACTAAACAAACCCTATATATCTAGGATGACGATTATATAAACCATATATAATCAAGAATGATTTCTACCTTTTTCTTGAGAAGGAGGCTGTGGATCACAATATTTACAATCAGTAACATTCCAATACAAATAAAGATTATCATTGATTCCTTGATAGTCGAACTGACCCATAAACATAACTAGGAAAAGGGAACTGCCAATGATCTCGCAACCAAAATATTCAAATTCATATGATGGTTCTTGCGAGCTAGCAACTGTGGCATTCGTAGAGAGGCATAGAATCCCACTGGTTCTGAATTAGCAGGACAGGAATAAAATGTGTAGTTTTCATAATATGTGGCGGTGTAAGGCAAAGATTTAAGGTTTATAGAGTTATTCAGAAGCCTTCCTGGGAGGCAATTACCGGGATCATGGAGGGTTATTTCGTTATCGTCATAGTTGATATCATTTACGTAAACATCACCAGAAAAAGGAAGATTTAGAATTGGTATTCGCTGATTACTGCATGTCAGGTTGATATAGGTACAGTTATTTCCTGGTTCTTGGTCTTGTAATCTGAAAGGGTACTTTATTTGGATGTTGCCACAGAGAGACGATGAACAGACATTTAGGGAATGGACAATCGGAAAGATTAAGAAGATAAAGAGAAGAATTCGAGAATTCCCATATTTTTCAAGAAAATTGAGTGTATAAAGGGAATATGAACTAAAGTCTCAAGTCTCATGTTTCTATCTATGCTTTTGTTGATCTTTTGTTGTCTCTGGACATGTTATATATATTTGATAAAGTGATTTAGAATTGGTATTCGCTGATTACTGCATGTCAGGTTGATATAGGTACAGTTATTTCCTGGTTCTTGGTCTTGTAATCTGAAAGGGTACTTTATTTGGATGTTGCCACAGAGAGACGATGAACAGACATTTAGGGAATGGACAATCGGAAA